TGTTTTAAAACTTTGTAATACCTATTATACTAGATACATTACAAGGCTATCTATGGAAATCTTCTTTTGATAGGTTACTATATGTTTATTGCAAACTATCCCACAGTATTTATTATAATTACTAAAGGGTAATGGCTTCTTAATCTGAAAAATATATAATGTTTTGAAAATTATATAATGTTTTGCTGACAGTAGTGACTATCATTTGTTAACATGTTTAGCTATTCTTTTCTCCTTTAATTCAATTAGTACTCATTAAAACTGAACTAAGATAATCAGTAAAATTTTATCAATTATTTTCATAATTATGAATGAACACAGTAAACATAATGGAGTAATTATAAAGCCACCTAATTAACTACAAGATTTTCATGGATTTATTCATATTTTTTTCTTATTTTTAATGTCTGATTGACATCATCTTTGAATAACCATTTCTAGACAAGAAGCATTATTATTACTACTACTATTATTATTATGCTTCTGTCCTTTTTAAAGAAAATTTTCTACTGGGCAAGCTTTGATTAAGCACCACAATGCAAAAAGTTATTCCAACATACTAGAAAAAAAAATCTAGAGAGCTATCCAAATCCAAATTAACTCAAATTTTACCCATAGGTTAGCAATCTTAACTCTGAAAAGACTATTTCATAATTATATTTATGAGAACATTCATTGTTTTAATTTCAAAGGTAAGCTTATAGAAGATTTTTTAAAATACAAGATCCTTTTCAAGTTAGGATCCTACCAATGTTGATGTTTTGGTATTTAGTCTACCTAAGTTTTAAACAAAAGCAGATGAATGAGTAATGGAACTCTAAAAAAAACTTGCTTTTGCCTTTTTGTGTTTGCTTTTCACTTAAAAAACAACAACAAAAAAGGTACTACATGTCTTTCAGGAATTAACCAAGCCTCTATTTTCTGGTTTAAAGATAGCAGGCTTACTATATCTTAAATAAAACAGAGTGCTATGGTGATTTGATAGTTTTAAACCACAAATGCATTGTGGTCTAAGGGTGTCACAGACAACTTAAGGAGGAAAAAAAAAAAAGGGACACAGAAATCACTTTGTCAGTAATTACAATCAAGAGTCCTAAAATGTGGCTCAGGCTGCTCATTACTTCTTCTCTGTATCAAGACCCTTATTTACATTTCAGATTACATTTTTTATGACACAGTAAGATCTATCAGAGCTGAGAAGACTGAAATAATGAGGGGAAAACATTTTAATAAAACGTGTTGGGTCTGCATTACTTCTGTGACAGAAAGAAAGGCTTTTTTCTGTAGTGATGGATCATTTATTCTGCTTCTAAACGAGAAGCAAAAAAGATGAAACTGATGAACTTTTACTGCCCATTTGTCTTTAGCAGACAATTAAGACCAAAAAGATCAAAATGGATTATCATACCACGCAGACAACTGGCCCAACAGTAATACATCTCCGGGACCACAGATTTGTAACTCTCTTTTATCCCTCCCCTTTCTTCTTACTTCTTTTTCCACTCTAAAGGCAGTGCTAGCTTTGTGGCTCAAGGAGAGCCAAAAGGCTGGTCATCATTATTCACTCACAGATGTCAATCTAACCTCCCTTTTTTCTCAGTTTCTAAAGCAGTGAGCCACAATAATTTGTGACAGATTCTTTTACTGTAAGGTACAAAGAACACACAGAATAAAACATCTAGCAGCAGCAAGCGTCTCTGATCAAGTGTGCTGGTACATGGGAAATACACTATATGTAAAAACAAGCATTGGTAGTTTAGCGAATAAGGAAGAAAAACTGGAGAGGGAAGGGATTGTGTATGTGTCTGTGCACACGTGTGCATACACATGCAGTAACAAATACTATACTTTTTGGTCAATTATCTTAAATATTCCTAAAGGATTACATCATAAATGTTTTACTATTAGAAACGTTGTCTAGATTAAGTGCAGATTCAGCATTTAAAGTTTGTATATAACAGAACTATTTCTAAGAATTTATGACAGCACAATAAGGAGAAAAATTTACTTTACTGAAACAAATGATGTGGTGTAAAAAATACATATAATTAGAATTTAAATGATTAAAAAAGTAAAAAGAAACAAGCAAGTCATATTCTCTTTAACAACAAATATAATTCTCAAACTTGGTAGCATGTCTTCAAAAACAAAATAGATCTTCATGTCTGAATTACATGAGGTCAAAGGGAATTAATTTGTCTCAAGTTGGAGATGTTGTTAAATAGTGATATATACATCCCTGTAAATTTATATCTAGTCCATAAATACATTTCTTCAAATTTCAAAATTATGTCACTGGTGTAAACAAAGAAAACAATACTACTACTATCATATAAGCACCTTTAAAATAACTAAAGCTAGAACAGCTTTAAATAAATAAATAAAGCTATTACTGTTTACATTCTCCTACAATTTTAATTATGCCATTTTCATCATATGAAATGACAATGGTTTGTGAAGCCTTTCTTTGATCAAAATAAAAAGAACTTCATAACATGAAAATACCAAATCAGTAAACTAAGTTGCAGTTGCAACAAAAGTATAGAAATAGTCTGTATTAAATCGTTTAAATAGGGATACAGGTGGACCCATTGCAACAATGAGATGTACAAGTCATTATGTCGAAAACGAACTTTACAACTTTGGTGGGGGGCAAAGGGGGAGCGGGGAGGATTGGGTGGGGGGGGCAGGGGGAGGATGGGAAGGGATGGGAAGGGGAAACAAAGGAGGAGGCTACAATGCTTGATAAGAAATGTACTCATTATCTTGCCCATGTAATTGTAACCCCTCTGTACAGTATTTTCACAATAAAAAAAAGAAAAAAGAAAAAAAGAAATAGTCTGTATTTCTCACTGTACATACAAATGCATGCATATAGTACATGCATGCATATACACATACCTTTTTCAAACATGTAAACATATACATGTACTTAGAAGAAATAAACATAGAAAGATAAATACCAAATTAATAGCAGTAGTAATCTATGATTAATAACACATGATTTGTATTTTCTTTTTCATTCTTTTTAAAATTTATTTTAGCTTTATATTTTCAGCATTTTTGTATAAACATATTACCCATGCAATTTTTAAAGTTATACTTTAAAAAATCATGTTGCTCAAATTTTTCAGATATAGTGAGATACTGTGTTTAGAGGAATAGACACAGATGGTACTATTCTATTTTAAATTTTCTCCTACACTTTGTTTAACTGGATAGTTTAGATCATGAGATCACAAAGGTTATTTACCTAGACACAAAATTTTAGGACAATAACTTTCTTAAGATCTATAGGCTCAAGTACGTTCAAAGTAATAATTATCTAACATTTGCCAAGGGGTAGAGAGAAAATTTTTAATATTTTTTTAAAGCATATGTTAGTCTTGAGATAAGGCACAAAGCAAATCAGACCAGTTCTCTTGGGTTCTTGTAGAGTAAGATCTCATCTCAAAGGATGACATTACAATGCTTATCCAGTTTCATTCCTGCATTTAAAAAAGATGTATCAGGCCAGCACTGGTGGCTCATGACTGTAATCCTAGCTACTCAGGAGGCTGAGATCTGAGGATCACAGTTCAAAGCCAGCCTGGGCAGTAAAGTCTGTGAGACTCTTATCTCCAATTAATCGTCAGAAAACCAGAAGTGGCACTGTGGCTCAAGTGGTAGAGCACTCGCCTTGAGCTGAATAGCTGAGGAACAGAGCCCAGGTCCAGAGTTCAAGCCCCATGGCCAACCAAAGAAAAAAAAAAAGATAGATCAGATTACCTTTCTTGACATTAAAAAGGCGACAATGCAAGGTGTTATAGCTACTGGCCTAGACACTTCTGTTCTATTATATTTATCCTCATTTTAAGGACTTTTTATGTGTTTGTGCAAGTACTGGGATTGAACTCAGGACCAGGGCACTGTTCCTTTACTTTTTCTTGTTTGTTTGTTTCTGCTCAAGGCTAGTACTCTACCACTTGAGCACATTTCCATTCTGGCTTTTATTTGGGGAGGAAAGGGGTAGTTAATTAGAGATAAAAGTCTCAGACTTTCCTCCCAGGATTGGCTTTGAACAATGATCCTGAGATCTCAGCCTCCTGAGTGGCTAGGATTAAGATGTGAGCCACCAGTGTGTCCAGCTTAAGGACTTTTAATAGGAGAAAAATTAGATGATTCTATTTCAAAAACATGACTTAATTATGTACAATATCTCCCATGTAAAAGGTTTTATAAAATTGCTTTACCAAGGGTAATCAATGATGCTTTTGTTTTCAAAATGCTCAAAGAAATATACCAAGTTACATACTTGAACTAGAAATGTAAAGTATCAGACAAAGCTACAGAACATCTTCAGTATTTCTCGACAAAAAAAATGGAATCTTGGATGAATAAAGTAAAACTATAAAGAGTAAAGCAACACCAGAACTTCAGTGTTATTATATGAGTAAAATATCCGTTATAACACCATTCTGTCTGCAAAAGGTGGAAATTTGAGATGGTAGAATCAACTAGTCAGCCTTAACTTTTGCTATAATCATTGGAACCACATTGATCCTAAGAACTATTTATGCATGTGTGTCTTCTTCTTTTAGTACTATGGTAACAGGTAGTTTTATCATCTATTTCAAATTGTATGAAATTATATAAACTCCCTCCCTTTTTGGTTATATAGCTTCTTGGCTGCTTAAATAGCATTGGAGGGTAGAAGGAGAGTTCATGGATTGCTTAATGAACTACAGATGACAACATACCTCAAAGTAAAAAGTGGTATCTGTGATAGGTTTTCTTGCTTAGTTTCTGTACATCTTTTCCCTGAAGGAAAACTCCCAAATCTAGAGCTAATGTTTTCTATCCTACTTCTCTGTTTTACTTTTTGTCTTTGGCTCCTAATTACTGCTTCTATTCCTTTCTAAAATTTCATTTATCTCTTTCAGTAAAAAGAACAGTAATAATATGTTGAACAACTCTGAAATAAATTTTGTCATGTAAAAAATTAATTACGCATTCCAAACCTGGTCACTGTAGTCCTCCGGGAATTGCCTCTGCACCTCAGGATCTGTAAATAATTGACAGATAATATTAATTGGCTTTGGATTAGTGAGCAAGCAGAGGATCACACATTAATATTTGATCAGAAGATGATAGCAGCCCTGGCAGGGGATCCAAGGGGGGCAGCTGAGGCTGCTATGCTGATGAGCACAAGGAAGGGCTCGGCAAGACACTCCCATTACCCTCCTCTAGAAATATAAAAAAGAAAAATTTTAAAGACCTGATGCTACTGTTAACTTTAGACTATTACCTAATGCAAAAAATCTTGCCAACTGCAAATTGTCCTCAATATATTTTTTTTCCAGAGAAAATGAGTTAAACCTGCTTGACTTTTCTTCACTAATCAGCAATCTCCTTTACATCATTACAGATGTTGCCTTGATAAACCTAAAGCACCAGTTTCAGACTAGGGAGAAAGGGAGAGTGGGAGAAGGATTCTTTCAAGGAACAAAGGGAAAACTCTACACTTTTTAAAATAAAAAATATTCTTTCCTAAGTGCTTATGAACTCATGAAAATACAGCTAAATTTAGATATTTTCTTCAAAACAGTACCAACACTTTTGGCTTGATGTTGTAAACCAAATAGTATAAAAAACGATATTATAAGCTAATACAGATCTGCTAAGAAACTATAAATTTTCCTAGGCAAAAATACCACTTGCAAATCTATTCAGAGTAAAATTACTAAATGGGTCACTGGATTCTTAAATCATAATTGCAAGATAATCCAACACCATGTCTGTAAGTCAATATAGAAGTGTACTAATTAAAAGCTATTAGCCCTCCATTTACTATCGATTTGGGAAACATTCAATCTTTTCTAATAAGAAAAAGACTTGGTACTTTGGTGAAATGAGAATAATTTCTATGTGGGAAATCATGTATCAATGCAAAGTTTATGGGAAAGCACAGCATTTGAAGGTATCCCCTTTTAATAGTGACCTCACAATATATACTACTCACTTTCCAAAACACTAACTTACAGAGAAACAGTTAATTTTCTTCAGTGAAGAATCAAGAAGAAAAAACAGTTAATTTTCTTCAGTGAAGAAACAAGAAGAAAAAAATGAAAGGCCTATCTGTCTACTATATTTAAATTCTAGAAATATCAGTTTTCAAGTCATTAAAGCCAATTGATATAAACCCAAGATAAATAACAAAAACAGCGGGGCACCGGTGGCTCACGCTTATAATCCAAGCTACTCAGGAGGCTGAGATCTGAGGATTGAGGTTCAAAGTCAGCCTGGGCAGGAAAGTCCATAAACCACCAGAAAACCGGAAGTGGCGCAATAGCTCAAGTGGTAGAGCGCTTGCCTTGAGCTGAAGAGCTGAGGGATAGCACTCAGGCCCAGAGTTCAAGCCCCACGACCGACAAAAAAAAAACACAAAAGCAAAAATAATCAAAAGTCACACCAAAAGCAGAAATATTCTAAAAGTCACACCAAAAGTAGTGTTTACCAATATGGTTGGTGCAAAAGAGTTGAAATTTATATGCAGACCACTTTGGCACTTGAGCTACCCTTCTATGTGACTTTAAAAAGCAGGGATCATTTTTTCTCTTTACTTTCATCTTCAACTACTAAGAAGGGACAAATGATGTTCCTACATGGTGAGTAGCAGAATCCTAGAATAACGTCTTCTATACCACTTTTCAAGGCAGCTCTGTGCGCCAGATGAAGAAGTAGCTGCCTGTTTTTGGCCTGAACAGCTAAAAATCTCACAAGGAGTTGGCTTTCCTGAGACAGGAGGTCAAAGGTACTAAAACCAGGGAGGAAAGTCCAAAATACTTGGTACCAGAAAGAAATATTACAGATTCTGGATTTTTTTTCTAATATTTGCTTCACTGGTTGACAGTTGACCATTCCTAATCCAAAATTCTGTAATCTATAATTTTGAGCATTTCAGTTTTCCAGATTAGAAATGGTTAGTTTGTTCTAGGCCTATAAGGAGGAATTAGCTATCAGGATGCTCAACCAACCTCCAAGTGAACCATGGAAAGACAAGGACCTAAGAAAAAGAGCACAGTGGCTATAATTCCTGAAACACACATAAATACTTAAAATTTGGTCCAAACTCTAAGCCACTGACAAGCTGAAAAACCACAAAATTATGTATTGCTTGTTCTTTTTCTTCCAATTGTCATGTGGCTAACACTCTACAGCTAGAAAACTTCATACAGATATGACTCCAATATTAATCTTTAATATCATGTCTTCCTTGTAGTAGTTTGTGCTTTTTGAGAACCACAAATATCAATAGGAATTTAAAAAAGAGAGACTTTTTCTATCACCATGTTGTAAAGAGACAAACAGTAGAAACCAAAGTGTGTGGCATATTCTTCAATTTTTAAAAAGTAAATTGCTTGCTCAGAGGCAAAAAAAACTTCTTACATTTCTTTAAAAGTCCTTTCATAAGAAATTACATTTCTTTAAAAGTCCTTTCATAAGAAACCATTAGAAACTAATCACCATAAAACACATTTTTTCATGTATACAATATAGCAGAATTGAAAGCAAAACAAAAAAATGGCAAAAAGAACAATCTGCCTTCGCTAATGTAATGAAGGGAAGGATGACCCTGACATGCTAAGATGAAGGCCATTCCAATCTTACTATCCTAAACAAAGCCTTGATGGAAGACTTCATAAACAACATTAACTAAATTCCCAAGACAATCCCTTAAGGTAGAGCCCACATGTGAATAGAATGTTCCAAGACAGTTCACACATAATTCACCACAACTCATGCAGAAAATAATTAAGTATAAAATTTTTAGTTTTAAGTTTTTTCTGTAACCCAAAAAGTAAACTTCATTTGTCTTTTGCATTTTCAAAAATACTCTTTTGAAATAAAAGATAAATGTTTTTAAACTAAAATCCATTGTTTCGTACATTTTCAGAAATACTTGAAAATAAAAGATAAAACTTTTTAAACCAAAGTCCAAATTATCAAGCTCCATTCAATTAGCTCAAAGATCCAGTCAGATAGTTATTAAAACTACGAAAAGCCATTCTGTAAAAATGAACTGCCAACAAATTATTTGAATTTTCTTTTTGTACTGGAGAATGAATTCATTTTTTTTCACATTAAATTGATCTCTATGCCATAATGTCACCAAAATATCGACATTGGAAATATCTGAGTTAAAAAGGTCCAAAGACAATCTGCTTTTCTCAAGCAACACAACACCCGCCCTACTAACAGTTTCAGCATGGCACATGTACAAAACCTAGCACCCTGCAGTTAAGCAAACCGCCTTTAAATTTTCTGTCTGGCAGCAATCCACTTGCGTGTCTGTATGTTTTTACAAGTACTCTATGTATTTCATTGCGTCAGCTGCATTTCTTTGAGTTTTAAATGGTCTGGGAACATTTTATGAAATGTTCTATATCTTTATATGGAAAATAACATATACTGGAAAACTGCATCAGTCTAGTATTTATATATCTATTTCTTTATCCACCATCCAATGCTATAATTACTAATGTTCCAAAACACCTTCTCACATTCATACACCTACCACCAAATGCAGTGTCACCAAACAGCTAACTTTCAACATGAAAATCTGCAGCTCAAAGTACTAACATGGAAAAAAGTAACCTAAAAATTTGTTTGGGCAATTGACAGAACAGTTATTAACATATGTCAATGTTTTCCCCTAAGAATTGTCTCTAACCAAAAAAAAAAAAATCAAGAATATAAATTGGGAGCTAGATGGCTCACACCTATAATCCTAGCTACTCAGGAGGCTGAAATCTGAGGATTGCAGTTTAAAGCCAGGCCAGGCAGGAAAGTCTGTGAGACTCTTTATCTCCACTAATGTACCACAGCCCCAGTGGTAGAGTGCTAGCCTTGAGTAAAAGAAACTCAGGGACAGTACCCAGGCTCTGAGTTCAAGCCCCAGAAACAAACAATACCTGAGGAGGGGTGGGTACTGTAACAGAATCCTGATCCCAGTACTAGGTTTCTTACAAACTTAAAAATGAATTTCATCATTTTCCAGGAAAATACTTTTCAGAATATTGTATCTAAAATACTGTGTGCCAACAACATTTATCATCTGATAGAGTCCACATGTCTTTTAAACAAACAGGCCTTTTTTTTTTTAATTTTATTTTATTTTATTTGAGAACATACTGTACAGAGGGGTTACAATTACATGGGCAGGATAATGCATACATTTCTTACCAAGCATTGCAGCCTCCTCCTTTGTTTACCCTTCACCTCCCTTCCCAGCCTCCTCCCTCCCCCCCACCCAATCATACCCCCCCACCACACCGACATTGTAAAGCTGGTTTTGACATGACATTTTGTACTTCTCATGGTTGCAACACGTCCACCTGAATCCTTAAAGGACTTGTTTGTCCCCATCTCCTCCACATGTTATACTGACAACAAACAGGCCTTAAAGAGGCAATCCATTCTTAACAAGGTTTCACATTATGTCAATGTGGTGAGCCACCAACTTCTCCCAGCACTGTGCCATCTATCTACAACTCTTCCTCCACAGAAACATGTGCACCACCTCTCTTGAAGGCTACAAAAGCATTGCCACATTTAAAACAGTCATTTCACTGTGTTGGACTCCCATAGCATAATCTCTTTCAGCAAACATGTCCATGCCCAAAGGGCTATGTCTCCACAGCAGGAAAAAAACTGATCTCCAAAACAAGCAGGTCTTACTTTTCTTTTTTTTTTTTCTTTTTCTTTTTTTGAGAGGCTAGTTTTCTTCAATCTCAATAGTGAATGTTTTCTACTACACATACTTTAAAATCTTTAATATGATACACCAGATTGCCACAGGATGTTTAATTAATAGAATAAGAATTTGGGCAAGACTTACTGGAAAGGTACTATAAATTATTTTACACAGGCTCCAAATCCTTGAGTTCTGCCTTAGGCTTAAAGTTCCTAGAAAACCTGGTAGACAGGTCTTTTACAACAGAAATACAAAATAATTCATAAAAGTACTGTGGTTATATATGAGAGCTCATTTGCACACTGGTA